ACAATGTGATGATCACAAAGACATTTATTTATCATGTGTATGTAAACCTGCATACACAACAAGAAGCCCAACAGGCTTTCCCACGAGCGTTGGATGTTTCGTCGCTAGGTGTGGCTTTATTTTTGAAGGCTTCAGTGCTTCGTTTGATAGCATTAGCCCACATTCCACACACTGAGCCCTCGGCTCTGCCTCGTTGCCTCCGTTCACAAAGCCATACTTAAGAAAGTCAGGATTGTACTTGCACACACATTTAGACTTTTGGGGGGGTATGGCACCACTGTCGTCTTCATTTTTTCTTTTTAAAAACTTATCCATAACTTTCGCTATAGGCTAGCTGAGTGTTGTCTTCTGCTTATTGGGGCTTGTTAAACAACTGACTGACGCATTACCGCCACCAGGTGGTGGGAAGCTATATTGTAACTGAGCGTCTCATGGATACCAGTAATATCTCTGGTGTCTTCAATTGATAACCTATGCGGTCCCGCGGCCCTCGCGGCCCACAGGTGCAAAACTGAAAGGGGAGCGCTATCATTCTTCTCATTTAACACTCTTTCTGCCAGAAAGCGCTGAAGCGTGTTTCCCAAAATGTTGAGATATTCTTTTGAATTCTCTATGTATTTATTTGGTTCATCCTTGTATATGGAATAATATGATGTACCTGCGTAGTTTATCTTTTGACATTTGTAAATAAACCTGTTTTGCCATTTGAAAAGCTTAGTATCGGCACTGGGAGGAGCCCTGGTGTTTTTACACAATGTTGACACATATTTACAGGACGGATGCTATTTGTCATTATGAATTTAATTTACCTGATGAACGTTGTTGATTAAAAAAGTGTACAAAAGAGTGTGCAGAATTTTAAGTGTAGGGTAGTTTCACGACTCAAATATTCTATATTTGTCTTCAGGGTGCAACGTGAGCAGCTGGCCGCCATCTTCCAGCTGCTGAAAGACAACCAGGAAACGTTTGGGGAGGTGTCTGATGGAGAAATGGAGGAGCAGCTCAGACTCTACTCCATCTGAGACTCATCTTTGTGTTTTGGGATTCACCCTCTGACGGCGCTCCTGTAACCTACTGAAAGACTACTCAAGCGCACAAAAATGCTTGAATAAACTTATTCACAGTATTCAAAACAAGATGCACAGTCCACCCAACTACCGCTCACATGTTTCAATATGATGTACTTTGTTTGAATTGTGTTGTATCTTTGCTGTTTCAATCCACCTGACTCACATACCACATGAAGACAAAACCCAAAGCAGCCGGATCTCTTGCAGCATAAAGCAGGATTTTCTAGCTACCCATATGCAAATAAAGGAGATAAAGGACTATTGTTTCTAATAGTTTTGTATTGTAATACAATAAATTAAATATCTTAATTTATTACATAACTTCTTTTTTTTTAATGACGTCATTAAATAACACTTACTGGAAATCCTGAAAAGTTAATTTTGCACAGTACCTCCCTTCTATTGTGCAACATACCGTTAGCAAGGTGTGTGAATGGTGCGATTGTTTCCTGCATAACATACGTGCTTTAGTCCCACCCCATTTGTCTTTAAATGACGCACAAAGATAACTATGTTATCTGTCTAGAAATATCAGTACAGAAGGCAAACACTTATCAGTATTTAACCAAACATTAGTTCTCAGCTTTAGGGATGGCAATCCAAACCTTCAGGGGTTTTTCGTTGCTGCTTGTGATTTCAGTTTGTACTTTACTTTTTTTTCTAGCATTTGGACATTTATCAAGCATTGGGTAAGTTATATTTAGAACGACTTAAGGTAAAAAGAGGGGATCTTATTTCTTAACTGTTATCTGGTTAATCATTATTTTGCCACGGAAATGTGTATCAGTACATTTCCAGGTACAGTACTATACATTAATTCACTTAAACCTGTGTCTTGCTAAAACTTGTATTATTCATTATCTATTGCTCTTTTGTCAAATTTCCACATCAGATGGAGCACTTTCTCAGGACTAACCAGACAAGTAGATGAGGAATTGGTTGAGTCCGGAGAAGTAGAAGAAAACTTGATAAAAATAGCTGATTCCACAAAAACAAGCGGGGCAGAGCTAAAAAGTGATCAAACGAGACGCACTACACCTGGCGCTGCGCCTGAGACTCCCATGCCCATCCTCTCCCGAAACTCCTTCAAGAAGGTTCCTCGGTGGGATTTTGATGATATTTATAACCAGGATGCTTCACCCAGGCAGACAGTAAGCATGTTAGGACACGAAAGGACAGAAACATAGCAAATGTACTATCTTTGTTGCTAGTGTAATCCGCACAGCTATGTGTTCAGTTGTATGTTTTGGCGTGAGCTGTATGGGTTTCCTGTTTGTTTTTCACTTAAAGTTAAATAAGCAATCAATTTCATTTTTAAATTTTGTCGATCTGTTGGAATTGTTCGGCATTTTTCCTGGTGTTTCCTCTGTAACAGCTTCATTAAATCAATGGTTTTAGCCACATTGAAAAGGTGCAAATAAAATGTTCCGTTTTTTTTCTATTTATTTTTGCTTTATTTCATAGTTTAATGTTTTATCTTACATTCTCAGACATGTGCCGAGTCTCTGCGAAACTCTGAGGATGAAGGCTTCAAGAAGGCTTTCCTCCCCAACGTTCGCATGTTTATGCACAGAACCAACATGAGCGAGTGGAACCGGCTTTCACATTTTAACAATCCTTTTGGTTTTATGGAGTTCAAACATGATGGTACGTGTTAATATGTGTCAGCAGAGATGTGCAAAAACTGTCGCGGGACTCACTGCCCTACGACCTATCATAACCTGAACCATTTGAGGTCATTGCAGATATCGCAGAAAAATGTGTTTAATATGTGCTAAATTTTGAATTTAGCACAGAGTTCCCTCTGCATGACCAATACTTTTAAATTAGATATTTTATAGGTGCAATGTGTAGGATTTGGGAGGCATAGTGGTGAGGTTGTGAGATTATAGAATGCAGCCAACTGGAAATTCGTGCCAAGCGGGTTTTTAGAGCTTGTTCTTTGGCAAAAGCTGTGACCAACAGACTGAAACAAAACAGTGAAGTTGCTGCTGGACAGCTTAGCAAAGAGGAAGAGATTCAGGTTAAAACTGGTTCTTCCAGTTCATCGCTATGGGTTAGACTTTCACATTGTCATTAAATACATTGTGACTGTAAAAAGCTAACATATTAAAGAAACCACATCAACCCATTAGCAATATGCTTTTAAGTTTTGCTTGCAGAAAATGTTGTGAACTATTTTGCATCTTAAAATGTATTTAATATGTTTTTTTTGGGGGGGGGGGGTATTTTTGCAGAAGTGATGTCTGCAGTGAATTTGATCCCAAAGCCAAACGAGCCACTACTCCCTCCAAAGACAGGCAGTGACAAGTGTCTGCGCTGTGCTGTGGTGGGCACTGGAGGAATCCTAAATGGCTCTAAAATGGGGAAAGAAATTGATGCCCACGATTACGTTTTTCGGTAAGAAACCCTTTGATTTGTTGTGTTAAGCCTAAATAAGGATGCATATCATACAACCCTGTGATACCAGGAGCACACATGTTTTTCTATACTTACCAAGTCAATATTTAGTTATGGTGTGGGATATGTCTTGTAGCACATGGGAGAGTGTAACACACGCCGATGGGAGTGTGTTAGCAACAGTAGTTGACTACATGCGATTTAATATTCATTTATCCATGTACACAGTAAGAATCAAGTTTTTTTGATTAATCTGTGCATTGTCTGATGTAGGCCTAATACAGTTCGTAATATAATTTAATCAAAGTCATTTTTGTGTGCGCAGAGTTGTTGCATCCAGCGCAATTCACGCAAATGAACACAAATGGTCCCCGGCGAGACCGGCGGCGCGAATGACGCCTTTAACAATTCGCTCCGCGTTTGGTGTGAACACGAAACAAAGACACGTTAAAGCTGATTTACTTGATTTGTCTTTGTTTGATCCTCGGCTCACCTCACAGTGACTCAAAGCAACCAATAAACTTCATTATGCTTATATTTTTTCATATAAATTCATTTCTAAGCGAAAGAAAATTCATTTTTGTGTTTGTGCGACAGGATGAACGGTGCAGCCATCAAAGGTTATGAGGAAGACGTGGGAAACAGGACATCGGTGTACGTTCACACCGCCCATTCCATCACTACGTCGCTGTATTTGTGGCGGAAGTTCGGATACACATCTGCCCCTAAAGATGAGGTACTCAAACTCAAATTTAACATGTGATATTGTATTGCTTCATATCCCACACATGCGCACTCATCTGTCATCCTCGTCCTTTTGGCAGGGTATAAAATATGTAATTATTCCTGAAGGGATGAGGGATTTCTTTTGGATGGAGGGTCTTTTCAAAGGAGAAAGGGTCACTGCTGGGCAATATAAAAACAACAGGTGAATATCAACTCTTTCTGTTTTATTAGTCGAGGGCAACATGCAAGCACAAACACAAAAACACATCCAGGGCTGGAACGTTTTTGATTGGACCTGGATCATCTATCAAGATGTCGTGGTACACAATTACATTGTCTTAATTGATCATGTCAAGCACACCTTAATTCAAATTTCGCAGAAAATTTTAATTGATACGAGTTCTGCTTATGAGAATTCCCCAGTGTAGGTAAATCAAACTATTAATCAGTTTAATCATGTAGACATAGTGTATGGCTGGAAATAAATAAAAAATTCTCACTAATTTCACTTGATACTGAGAAGAAGAAAAAAAATCGTAACTTTTAATTTTTAAGTACTTAATTCACACATATCAAAAAATCAACTTGATGTGGTTATTTCATTTAGACCATGTATTTATTGAATTACTGAAAAACATCAGCAAAATCAGGATATCTATCGTTTAGATTGATGGTCAGAGTGGCCGGCAAGTGAGGTAGTCTGTGATCCAGGATGCAGCGTAGGGCCAGCTCCATCTGGGATGCTGGTCTGGATGGTGTTGAAAGCCCCGAGGCGCAGGAGGGCCTTGTGAGCCAGGAATTCCGTCTACGACCCCTCTTTGTGTTTTTGTGATCCACCCTCTGACGGCCTCCTTTAACCCGTGAGCGCTATTAAAGGACATTTAGTACATTTTCTGGAGGTTACAGGTCATGTCAAACATACACTATGCTCCTTTGTGGCTCAAGCAGAAATTCAAAAATCTGGTAATTCAATCCTGCCATTCGAGAAGCAAAACTCATACACTATAGTTCGAGAAACACTAAACCCATTGTCTTCTTGCAGCACTAATCATCTGGTTTTTTATTATACATAAAATTGTTTACTGCCCATTCTCTACACTCTTAGGGAGTAGCATGCGGTATGGAGTATGGAAAGTGCCACTGCAATATACATGTGAAAATTAAAATTATTTGTGTTAAGCTCTTGACTTTGTATTTCAACCCTGCAGGCCAAGGAACTACTATTCCGGACAGTACAATGAGACCCGCTTCTATGTTCTGCACCAGGATTTCCTCAGATACGTTCGCAACAGGTCACCCTCCTCTCACAATCCTACCCAAACCTTTTACTTTACATTACACATTCATGGTCTATTTAGAGGCTGTACTTTGTCTTGATGGTTTTTTATATATGTTTATTTAACACTTTTCATTGTCCACAGGTTCTTAAATTCTCCTCATCTGAATTCTTCACACTGGGCGATCGTCAGACCAACCAATGGGGCATTCACTGTCTTCCTGGCTCTGCAAACCTGTGACACTGTAAGTTAATATTACTTAAGCCACATGCCGTCCATACTGTAGATAACCACACCTCTAACATGAAGTATGCATCCAAAAATGTGCAGACATTAACTCTGAATATGTGTAGTTTATCAATTCATTAGGCGAATCATCGGCTGGCTGTAGCCTCCAATTTTTTGGACACTCATTCATCTAACTTTCCACAAGAAATTGAATGAGCATATTTCTCAAAATGTCAAACTTTTCTTTAATCCAACCTTTTTTGCTGTGAATGATTCTCAACCGTCTCTGTTCTGTTCTTGACGTTGGCAGGTGAGTGCATATGGATTCATGACTGAGGACTTCAGGAAATACTCCAACTACTACGTTGAGAAGCTTAAAAGCAATATAATTTTATACTCCAACCACGACTATATCATGGAGAAGAACCTGTGGAAAAGACTACACGACAGCAAAATAATAAAGCTATATCAAAAAACGTTGCCAGAAACAGGATCGGCAAGTGTTACACCGAAGCACTGAGAATGTACCGGCTTCGAATGATGTCGGCCGACCGAGTGGGCGCTGTCAGCAGAAATGAGAGTCAACTCAGCATGGTTGAAAGTTGGTTTGACTCGGGGAGGCCAGAAGTGCCAATGGAGGTTTTGTGTGTGTGTTTACAAAGCGCTCAGGTAGAGCGCTGGGCTTTGTAGTGAATTTTGCATAATGGCCAAACTGTAGAATTCTGATTTCCGGGTCCTTCACGTTGTTGCCATGGGTCCCAGAAGCATTTTTTCTCATAGACTTTTTAAAATATTGATATTGTTTACCCAAACCCTGCGAGACAATATGTGAGAGTTTTGTTTTCGAGGGTGTTTTTTAGATATCCTAATATTCATTCGGCCATCATACAACTAAAATGGAAGGAGTGCCTGTCCGGCCTTTATTTTCACAACAACGGATTGACTTCACACTTGAACGGTTTCCATCGGCACTCCTCGATGTGAATGGGTTGGGCAAAATACAAATAGCGTCTCTCAAGGTGCAGTTTAACAGCACCACAATGTTTCCAATGTCAACAGAAAGTTTTAGCAATATCTGGTAGAACAGTTTTCAGACAAAATAACTGGGCATCATAACCTTCATGAATGCAGGACCTATCGGAGGGCTTTATAACAGTTATTAAGTTTCAGCTAATTTGAGCAATTAGCTTGTTTTAAGTGAAGTAGCTTCTCAGTTGTTGAGTCATCATTTATAATAAGGTCCATTTTCGTAATTGTATTCAGTGTAAAAAACAAAAGCCCATACAACAATGTCTCTCTACAACGTCAAATAGGTGTATTTTTTCCTTTTCTTTTAGTGGTTTTTGAATATTTAATTATTGTTTTATACTACAGGCTTTGCCTTGGTTTTTATAGTAAGACTGGCCAAAAAGAAAGCGTAAGCTTGAATAATTTCTCTATTTAGTTTTAAGTGTTCAAACTGTTTAATAAAAAAGTATTACGTTCATCAACGGGCTACAGTCGTTGCTTCGTCTCAGACTGTATGTGAATATGATTCTGTTCGAGCACATTATTGGAGTTGTCATCTGTCCAAGTTCATGACACTGCAGTTCTGTGGCCACTAAAGTAGCATTGTGTAACATTGGATCACCTGATAAAGGTACTGTAAAGAACAGTGTAGCTTCATTGATAAATCCTCTTTATAGTTAGTAAATCACAACAATTACAGTATGCAACTGAGATGTCTGATGAAATGAGCAACATCTTCATACTTGCATGAAGTTAAAGTATTAATCTGAATGTCATTAGAATTGTTCAAGGCTCACAGATAAAACACAAATGGCCACTGTGCTGCTTTCGGCGGTAATCAATTGATTGAGAACCACCTTAGAGAAACAGAAACAATAAAGTTGTATCATTTGCTATCTGGTTTATATTAAGTGGTTGGTGTGATGGTTCCAGACTGAAATATAACA